CCTCTGCTCAAGCCATCGTTGCACTGAAGCCAGAGAGAGCATCCTTCACGGCAGGCCTTGCTGGGCCACTCTGAGGCTTAGCACTCTTCTGTTTGAAACCCACCCTCTTCTATGGACCACGAGGCCCCACAGGGACTGGCCCAAAGCTGCCTTTCCGCTTCAGGTCTCCTCTGCCAGTCCCCCCAGCTTGAATTGTGCACTCCTTTCTTCTCTTCAGTGTGCCTTGCTGGTGCTGGTCTCTGGGCCTTGGCACATGTTGTTCCCTCTGCCTGCAATAATTTCCCCATCCCTTTTGCTTGGATAACTGGCGTTTGTATATCAGATCTCAGCTGAAATTCTGACCCACAGACTCAACTAAATCTTTTTGCTGGAAAAGTCTGTAGCATCATGAACACCCACTTCCCCCAACAACACTCAGCACATATTCCGTGACACTTAACTGGTTTCAATACTGGCTCTCCATGTCCCCGCTGGCAGGGACTATCCATCCCACCAATGCCAAGTTAGTTTGTTTGTTTGTTTCTTGAGAGAGGGTCTCGCTCTGTTGGCCAGGTTGAAGTGCAGTGGTGTGATCACGGCTCACTGCAGTCTCAACTTCTAGAGCTCAGGTGATTCTCCCATCTCAGCCTCCCAAGTAACTGGGACTACAGGGACACGCCACCATGCCCGCCTAATTTTTGTATTTTTAGTAGACAGGGTTTCACCATGTTGGCCAGACTGGTCGCGAACTCTTGACCTCGAGTGATGCACCCTTCTCAACCTCCTGTAGTGCTAGGATTATAGGCGTGAGACACTGAGCCCTCAGACACATTCTTAATTCCATATTGTTTATCCTTTCATGGGGTAATGGATGGCACTTGGCTTGTGTCTACTTTTTGGCTACTGTGGATAGTGCTGCTATGAACATTCATGAAGAAGGCTTTTTTCCTGTTTCTTTTTTAGCAAGAGGATAAAAATAAGGGTTTTTTTTGGTTGTTGTTTTTGAGTTTTTGAGATGGACTCTTGCTCTGTCGCCCAGCAGGCTGGAGTGCAGTAGCGTGTGATCTTGGCTCATTGCACCCTCTGCTTCCTGGAGGTTCAAGTGATTCTCCTGCCTCAGCCTCCTTATCGCGGCACTGAAGCCAGAGAGAGCATCCTTCACGGCAGGCCTTGCTGGGCCACTCTGAGGCTTAGCGCTCTCCTGTCTCAAACCCACCCTCTTTTATAGACCACGAGGCTTTGCAGGGACTGGGCCGAAGCTGCCTTTCAGCTTCAGGTCTCCTCTGCCAGTCCTCCCAGCTTGAATTCAGCACTCCTTTCTCTTCAGTGTGCCTTGCTGGTGCGGGTCTCTGGGCCTTGGCACATGTTGTTCCCTTTGCCCACAATATTTTCCCCCATCCCTTTTGCTTGGATAACTGGTGTTTGTATTTCAGATCTCAGCTGAAATTCTGACCCTCAGACTCAACTAAATCTTTTTGCTGGAAAAGTCTGTAGCATCATGAACACCCACTTCCCCCAACAACACTCAGCACATGTTCCGTTGCACTTACTGGTTTCAATACTGGCTCTACAGGTGTGCACCACCATAGCCAATTTTGGTATTTTAATAGAGACAGGGTTTAACCATGTTGGCCAGGATGGTCTTGATCTCTTGACCTCATGATCTGCCCACCTCAGCCTCCCAAAGTACTGGAATGACAGGCGTGAGCCACCATGCCCAGCGAGTTTTTGTTTGTTTGTTTAGATGGTATCTTGCTGTGTTGCCAGGCTGGAGTTCGTAGTTGCTCACAGGTGCAATCATAGCAAACTACAGCCTTGAATTCCTAGGCTTAAGTGTTCTTCCTGCCTCAGCCTTCTGAGTAGCTAGGACTACAGGCATGCATCATGGAGCCTGGCACATCTTGTACAAGTTTTTGTTTCAGCACCTATTGTCAATTATTTTATTTTTGAGACAGGGTATCACTCTGTCACCCAGGCTGCAGTGCGGTGGTACAGTCTCAGCTCACTGTAATCTTTGTCTCCCTGGCTCAAATAATCTTCCCATCTGAGCCTCCCAAGTAGCTGGGACTACAGGCACCACACCTGGCCAGGTTTTTGTATTTTTTGTAGAGATGGGGTCTTTCCATATTGCCCAGGCTGGTCTTGAATTCCTGGACTTAAGCAATCCACCTGCCTTGGCCTCCCAAAGTGCTGGGATAACAATCATGAGCCACCATGCCCGGCCACCCATTATCAGTTCTTTTGGGTATATACCCAGGAGTGGAATTACTGGGTCATACGGTAATCCTATGTAACTGTTTGAAGAACTGCCAAACTTTTAACCCAGCAGTCACACCATTTTACATTCTTACCAGTAATGTATGAGGGTTCTGATTTTTCCACCAATACTGGTAATTTCCTGTTGTTCTTATTATAGCTATCCTAGCAGGCATGAAGTGGTTTTGCTTTGCATTTCCCTAATGACTAATAACATTGAGCATGTTTTCATGTGCTTGTCTAACAGGTTTTTTTTCTCTAAATATTCCTTTTTGGTAACATCTTACTCTAAACTTTTTTTTTTTTTTTTTTTTTCTTTAATGGAGATGGGATCTTGCTCTGTTGCTCAGGCTGGTCTCGAACTCCTGGGCTCAAGCCATCTGTCCAACTCAACCTTCCAAAATGCTGGGATTACAGGCATGAGCCACTGCACTTGGCCTTACTGTAAAGTTGTTTTTTTTTTTGAGATGAAGTCTTGCTCTGTTGCCCAGGCTGGAGTGCAGTGGTGGGATCTTGGCTCACTGCAACCTCTGCCTCCTGGGCTTAAGCGATTCTCCTGTCTCTGCCTCCTGAGTAGCTGGGACTACAGACATGCACCACCACTCCAGGCTAATTTTTGTATTTTTAGTAGAGACAGGGTTTCACCATGTTGGCCAGGCTGCTCTTGAACTCCTGACCATAAATGATCCACCTGCTTTTGCCTCCCAAAGTGCTGGGATTACAGGTGTGAGCTACTGCGCCTGGCCTTATTCTAAACTTTCTATGGTTACATCTTCTCAGTTTACCTGAGAATACTAATGATATATACACGTATATAAAATGGTATATATACACACACACACACACACATATGCCATTGTAAACATTTAACGACATAGGTCTTTTTCTTATTTCCTCCCAGTTGCTTTTTCTTCATTTTGACCTCTATTATGTCATAGGCTTTCCTCAAATGTTCATAACTCTTATTGTCATTTATATTTCAAAGTAGGGTCCTCAAAAACTCATTGGAAGTTCTGTGCCTGTAGGTGAGAAATCTCAACTGTGGGATTCAGTGTTGGGTGATCTGGCTGGGCTCCACCTTGGGGAACTCCCATTGTCAGGATCTTTAGGTCTTTCTTCTTAAGGACTACTCATGTTCTCCAGAGAGAATGTGAGGTCTTGGCAACCATTCAAGGGAAGGCTGTCTGGGGTCTCATTCAGTAAGCAAACTTTCACTTACTCCACTTGTTTTTAGTACAGTATTCCTTCCCTGAACTGTAATTCACTAATCCCTGAATTAGTGATCCCCAATTAAGAGAACTCTCCAGAGAACAAAGCTCCAGTCTTGAGGGATGGGTGTGAAAAGGGATCCAGGAATCCACTTGCTTCTTTAAAAAACCTTTTGCTTGATCTTTTTTTTTTTTTTTTTGAGACAGAGTCTTGCTTTGTCCCCCAGGCTGGAGAGCAGTGGTGTGAACTTGGCTCACAACCTCCACCTCCCAGGTTCAAGCAATTCTCCTGCCTCAGCCTCCCCAGTAGCTGGGATTACAGGTGCCGCCACCACACCCAGCTAATTTTTGAATTTTTAGTAGAGACGGGGTTTCACCATGTTGGCCAGGCTGGTCTTGAACTCCTGACCTCAAGTGATCTGCCTGTCTCGGCCTCCCAAAGTGAGGGGATTACAAGGCGTAAGCCACCGCGCCTGGCCAATATAATTTTTCAAAAAATAAAGAAAAAGTAGGAACCTGGGCTCTGCCCACCAATGAACTGTGTAACCTTGGACAAACTACTTCCAGTTTGGAGCCTTAGTCTTCTCTGTAAAATAGCAATAACAGGGATACACGTTCTTGAAGCGCCTTTATCAGTGGCTAGAACATGGCAAGCTCTTGGTATTTGTGGTTGTGGAAGGGTTCAATATCAAAGCCGACAATTCTTAGAAAGTCAGCGTTTTACTTAGCTTAAAATTAGCCTTCACACTTGAATTGTAAATTTGTCCCTAATTAATGCCCTTCGGGGCAAAATCTGTGTTTAACCTTACTTGATGGCTAAACAGAGCTAGCAAAGCTTTTCAGCTGAGAGGAGGGGAACGTGTCGGTCGCCGAGGGCTCACTGCGCGCGGGCGTCCCTCCTGGGTCAGGCTGGCAGGGACAACCTGCAGCGGGACAGTCGCCGGCGGCGGTCTCGGTGCTAACCCGGACCTCTCACCCTGCCCCGCGCCACCCCTGGCCTAGGAACCGGTTTGCTGCAGGCGCCCAGCGTGGGAGCCCGGACGCTTACTCACCTCTCGTCTGCCCAACAGTCCGAGTCAGGCGCACCCGGCCACGCACCGTTCCCGGCACCAGGGTGGCGCAGCCCGTCTCGGTCTTCACGGGAAGCCCGTCACCCTATCCGTCGAGGACCCCACTTTCTCCAAAGGAGAACCTGAGGCAGCGCCTGGAAAAGCAGCTCCAAGCCCTCTAGGTCCACCTCGACTCTTCCCTCAGCCCCACGACCTCCCTGCCTGGACCCCGAGGCCCGCGTGCCGGGATCGCCAGCGCCCACCAGCGGCTCCGGTCCCGGCTAGCAGCACAGGTGGGGGCGGGGCCGGGGCGGGGCCTGAGGAACCGGCGCCCCGCCCCGCCCCGAGGCCCGCGGCGCCACCGCCTCCACCTCTCCCCCGCCGTGGAGCGCCTCGGAGCGGCGGGCTGCGGCCTGGCTCCGCCCCTCCCGGCCCGGCGCGCCGGCTCCCGCCTCCTTCCCTCTCCTTGCTCCCGCCTCCCTCCCTTTCCGCTGCCGAGGCGGCGGGAGCCGAACCCGAGCGGACCGAGCCGCGGCCGCAGCCGGGCGGCGGGCGACAGGCGGCGGCGGCGGAGGCGGACGGGCCGCGGGCGGTCAGTCAGGCGGCGGCGGCGGCGGCGGCGATGCGGCGGCCCCGCTGAACCCGCCCGCTCCTGGCTCCGGGAGCCGGCCGCGCGAGGCGGCCCGGGCCAGGCGGCAACATGCGGAGCGGCGAGGAGCTGGACGGCTTCGAGGGCGAGGCCTCGAGCACCTCCATGATCTCGGGCGCCAGCAGCCCGTACCAGCCCACCACCGAGCCGGTGAGCCAGCGCCGCGGACTGGCCGGCCTGCGCTGCGACCCCGACTACCTGCGCGGCGCGTTCGGCCGCCTCAAGGTCGCCCAAGTGGTAGGTGCCGGGCGGGGCCCCAGGTGCCCGAGGGCGGCCTAGCCGCACGCCTCCCTCCCCGCCCCGCTGCGGGGCCTCAGTCGCGTACCCGCTTGCCGGGGCCGGAGCCCGCTCCTCGCTCCCCCTCTCCCTCGCGGGGTCCCGGGGCCGCGCTGCAACCTCCTCTGGGGACTCCGCCCTCGGCCGGAGCCTGCTCTTCCCAGGCCGGCAGCCTCAGGTGTGCGCCTCCTACCTGAGCACCTGCCCTGGGGCCTACCTGTCCGCTCCGCCCGCGCTCCCGGGAGTTTGTGGCGTTACTGGGCTGGGTGGTGCTGGGAATCTTGCTGTCTCCTGGGTATGGCTGGTCTTAGCAACCTGTGGCAGGTTTCCCCGGCCGCAACCTCCAGACGGTGCTCGTCTGTTTCTACCTCCGGAGACGGAGGTCTCTGGCTTGGTTTCCCCTTGACGCCTAGCTGGGTGCCAGGCGTATGTGGTACACGCTTAGTAAGTATTTGTTGGGCGGAGGCAGGTATCCCTGATGCAGTGGGGGAGCCTAGATCAGCCCACAAAGTCTCTACGCTGCAGAGGTTTGAGTCCTTCTAACCGAGAAGACAGACTTGGCATCCCGGAGTCCACAGCCCGGCACGGTGGCTGGCACTGCCCAATGGGTACCCAGAGTTAAATCTGGGAGGGCAGCCAGTTTTGGAGGTAGCAGAAACAGAGAACTTTCTGTTGGACTTGTCTATAGTAGAGCTCGTTTCTCAGGGTCCTATGTTTTAGCTTCCAGGGTGTTCTGGGCAGGGGCCTCTCAGCTCTGTTCCTGCTTTGTGGTTTTGTAACACGCCTTTCCGGGCAGTTGCTCAGCTCTGTTGTGGTCCAGGGATGCTCCAATTCAGAAAAACCCGTGTGTGCCCCCCACATTCCCTGTCACAGGTAGGCCGTCTTCTGAGGCCACTGGTCTCCAAACTTTATAGCCTTCTTATAGCCAGAGAAGCTTTCCCTCTTTCTCATTAACCTGACGTGAGCTGCCACGTCCAGACTAGAGCTGTACTTTTCATCTAGAAGAACTTTTGGGCCTAGCTCCTAAAATCTTGCCTACCTCTGCTGTTTGCTAATCTCTAGAACTTAAACCCTGAGAGGTCATATGTGGGTGAGCAAAGGAAAGGAACCCACTTGAAGGGTATGGCAGGTGAGGGTACCCTTCAAAGGACCCACTTGAAGGGTAAGTTCTAACTATGGTTTTGAGAAAAATTTGACTTTTAAAAATCGGGAAGCTGAGGTGAGGGGATTGCTTGAGCCTAGGACTTCAAGGTCACAGGGAGCTATTATGGTGCCTGGGAGTATCCACTGTGCTCCAGCTTGGGCAACATAGGAAAAGCCCATGTCTAAAAATAAATTTAGTTTTTTTTTTTTTTTTTTCTCTTTACGGAGTTCACTCTTGTTGCCTAGGCTGGAGTGCAATGGTGTGATCTCGGCTCACTGCAATCTCCATCACCTGGGTTCAAGAGATTCTTCAGCCTCAGCCTCCCAAGTAGCTGGGATTATAGGCACCCACCACCATGCCTGGCTAATTTTTATATTTTTAGTAGAGACGGCGTTTTGTCACGTTGGCCAGGCTGGTCTCAAACTGCTGACCTCAGGTGATCCACCCACCTCAGCCTCCCAAAGTGCTGGGATTACAGGTGTGAGCCACTGAGCCCAGCCATAAATTTAGTTTTTGTAGATTTTTTTTTTTTTTTTTGAGTGGGTTTCTTGCTCTGGTGCCCTGGCTGCAGTGCAGTCGCACGATCTCGGATCACTGCAACCTTCACCTCCCAGGTTCAAGCGATTTTCCTGCCTTGGCCTCCCTACCAGGCCTTGCTAAGTTTTGTATTTTTTAGTAGAGATGGGGTTTCCCCACGCTGGCCAGGCTGGTCTTGAACTACTGACCTCAAGTGGTCTGCCCATCTTGGTCTCCCAAAGTGTTGGAATTACAGGTGTGAGCCACCCCGCTGGGCTGTAGACATTTTTGTGGTGTTTTTTATGGCCTATTGCAACCTGTAGATCTTTGCTATTCCAAGTTTGGCCCTTAGGCCAGCAGCATTGCCATCACCTAAGGGCTTATTAGAGATGCAGGATCAGTGGCCTTGCCCCAGAACTTCGGATTCACCTGCATTTAAATAAGATTCCCCAGGTGATCCACGTGTACATTAAAGTTTGAGACTTACCTTTCTATATTCTTTTAGTATTAAAAAAAAAAAACCTTGCAGCAGGCCGGGCGCGGTGGCTCACACCTGTAATCCCAGCACTTTGGGAGGCTGAGGCCTCCTGATCATTTGAGGTCAGGAGTTCAAGACTAGCCTGGCCAACATGGTCAAACCCCGTCTGTACAAAAATACAGAAAATTAGCCAGGCATAATGGCAGGTGCCTGTAATCCCAGCTACTCCTGAGACTGAGGCAGGGGAAGTGCTTGAACCCCAGAGGCGGAGGTTGCAGTGAGCTGAGATCGCACCATTGCACTCCATCCTGGGTGACAGAGCAAGACTCCATCTCAAAACAAAACAAACCTTGCACAGGCACTCGCAACCAGCTGTCAATAAATAGCCTTAAGGCTGCGATCTTTCTGTGAAATGAGCCTGCCAGTACAATACCTCCCTCAAAGGATTAAGAAAATGAAATAATATGTGTAAGTTAGTACCTATTGTATTAGACATCCAATTGATGTGCAGTAAATGTTAGCTGTCATAGTGCTAATTAACAATACCTGTCTCTAAAGAAACTTTGTGAAGATATCACTGAAAAATAATTATGTATTTGAATTAAAGATAGTTTACTTCCTTATGATTTAAGTTAAATTGATATTTTTAATGGAATGTGATTTGATAGTAAAGCTAATCTGAAATATTATGAAAAAATTAAACAGTGCAGTTGCATAGATTCTATCTTTTCTTTTTCTTTTTGAGACAAGGTTCTGCTCTGTGCTCAAGCTAGAGTGCAGTGGTGCAATCATAGTTTACTGTAGCCTTGACCTCCTGGGCTCAAGTAATCCTTTCACCTCATCTCCCAACTAGCTAGGATTACGGGTATGTGCCACTATGCCTAGCTAATTTTTAATTTTTTTGTAGAGACAGGGTCTCCCTATGTTGCCCAGGCTGGTTTCAAACTCCTGGGCTCAAGCACCCCTCCCTCTTTGGCCTTCCAAAGTGCTGAGATTACAGGCATGAGTAACTGACCTCAGTCTATATCTTTTCAAAATGAAACATGTACCTATCTCTTAGTTGGGGAGAACGTCTACTGTGGTTAAACAACTGATTTACATTATCATCTTCCTCCTTGTGTGAAGTCTTTTTTTTTTTTTTTTAAATGAATAAAGACAGAGTCTCATTATATATTGCCCAGGTTGGTTGCAAATTGGGATTACAGGTGTGAGCCACTGCACGTGGCCCACATCCCTTTCTTGAGCCCTTCCCATGCCTAGATGACTTTCGGACAACGTATTTGTTTAGGACTTTTTAATAACAAAAGATGGATAATAGGAATTTTTTTTTTTTTTTTTTTTTAAAAGACAAATTTTCGCTCTGTCACCCAGGCTGGAATGCAGTGGCATGATCATAGCTCACTGTAACCTTGAACTTCTGGGCTCAAGGCAGCCTTCTGCCTCAGCCTCCTGAGTAGCCAGTACTACAGGGATGCACCACCATGCCCTGCTAATTTTTTTGTAGAGATGAGGTCTTGCTATGTTGCCTCAAACAAGAGGCTAGTCTCGAACTCCTGGGCTCAAGCGATCCTACTGTTTTGGTCTCTCAACGTGCTGGGATTACAGGTATGAGCCACTGTGCCTGGCCTGGAAATGTTTAAATGCAAATTTTAGCTCTACTGATCTTGATGTCTCTTAATCCCATCACATCTGGGTTTCTCAGTTGTACAATATGGGTGGTAATGACTAATTGAGCATTTTAGGAATTGTAAGAGTTAAGAGGTTAATGTTTGATAGTTGCTTTCTTATGTAACTCAAAAACAGATGTGAGTATTTGCACTTCAGGGGTGGGTAATATGGCATATCTTTTCTTTGATGGAAACCTTGTTAGTTTTTTTTTTTAACCTCAAGCCAGTCAGCACAATCCCTGGCTGGTTACTGTTCTCTGGAGGATATGCAGGGGTGGGGCTTATAGAAATCATATACAACATAAAATAGCCACATTTGCAAAGCTGCAACTTTGATAAATGACTGGCTGTAGACATAGCACTGAGCTTATCAGCCCCAAATCCCCTCAGTTCTGTGGAGGGGCTGGTTCAACTGAGGCTCAGTTGGGTTCCTGGTTCTTAAGAGCTGGTCAAATGACCTGGCAGACACACAATGACCCTGGTCAAACTGTGAAGGGTTCTGCGTTTTGTTTACTACTGAAGATTCCTTTGTACTCCTGGCTCCCATTTATCCCTGAAGTCATGCATATACATGTGCATAATGTTAGATGAAGCAGTGGGTTTCTCTATATTGGATTCTCAGAGCCACCATTCTGTGGCTCCTTGTAAAACAGTCCCATTTTCCTTTAGGAGCTGTCTTCCTGATCAAGGACTTGGAATCAAATTAAATTCTAGCAGAAAAGCAAAGTTATAATTACTCTTAAGTTTTTTTGATAATTAAAAATAGTGGAATTATAAACCATGACTTCAAAAAAAGTTGTTAAGTATAGAGAGTATACATGTGTTTTACAAAACCACACAAAGACAGTTTAAGAAAAGGATACTACAGACCAATATTCCTCATGAACACAGACACAGAAATCCTCAACAAAATACTGTACAGAAAATAGAAGCCAGCATATTGTAGAAAGAATAATACACCAAACCAATTGTGATGTATTCCAGAAACAAAAGATCGGTGAAGTTTTTGAAAGTAAATGTTATAGATATACACCTAGAGGTGAGGATAGGGCTATATGTCAGGATGCTTCTCTCTTGGTAGAATGGATGTATACCTGCGTGCCTGGGAGAGAGCTCTTTCCAGCCTAAAGTTGTGCTGAACAGGCTTGAGCTGTAC